TCCCTACAGTCATTCTATGCAGAGTGTTTTGAGTTTACCCAGGAATATGAAATACTGTACTGCTCAGGCCTCTTGACAGCAACTGCCTTATTTACTTTCTAAGGATCATTTTTGTGCCTCCACAGTTTTGGCTACTGCTTTTAGCTAACAAATGTCTGTGATAATGAACAGGCTTGCCTTTTCTTATTCTCACTTCTTCCAACCCAGTAACTCATTTATAGTTCAAGTGGTGATTGTATATTTTCACTAACCCTTTTCACAGCTCAAGGAGCAGCTCTTTATTCTCCTTTCCTTATACTGATTTCATAGTGTAAATTGTGAATATTTAGGATAACATAGTATCTATTTTGGGACTATTTTATGTAATGCTCCTGTAATAAACAGTTGAAAAGAGCTGAAAGAGATTGTACCTTTATTCCACTGGAAAAGGAGTAGTAGGTTCTCCTCCTGCACTCTTTGGCAGCAGCATAGTATGTTTGTTGATGTTCTTTTCTGCAGTGTTTCAGAAAGTCTCTAAAGTAATTTTGACAGTTATTTTGACCATAATCTTTTACATAGTGAAAATCTTTACTTCGGTTCCTCTATTCAATAAAAGTCTGTGTTTGCCAACCAGGTATTGACCTTTACCTAAGCTCTGTTCTGGAATAAGTATGAGTGCTAAATGTTCATGTGAGAATCAGCCATGTTGGATGTGCATGAGAGCTTTACTATATAGTTTTGTTTTAGATTCTTCCCAAGAGTTAAAAACAAGTAATTAGCTCCCTAGCTTAGTGGTGGAGAAGAATTTTTTTCTTTGTTTTATATGTGAATGTGCCTGTGAGTTTCAGATCATCTTAAACAACTGTCTAGGTTAGGTCTCCTCATCTAAATAAAATAGACCTGGGTGGAGAAAGCAAATTCCTTTTTGGAGAAGGTTTCTGCGTCTCAAAATGTAGCTTTGTTGTTGTTCACAATGAACACCCCTACTTATCAAATTCTTCCTGAAAAGGGAGGAAGTCTCAAGATCAGCCTTGAGATTTCTGATTCAGGGGCAGTCTGTGTGGTGGAATTACTTGGTTCCTGCCACAGAGGCAGTCCGCTTGGCAAGCTGTCTTGGATCTGCAGATCTTGCGAACCTTAGGGGCAGTCTGCTAACAGGCATGTACCCTTGGCAAAATGTTGTTTACTGCTTACAAAATGTTTGCAAAACACTTTTCTGTGTGATATGCTTAATTAATGTGCATGTCATGCTGGTCTCTTACAGCTAGTTCGTGGCACAGCACTGTACCAACCACTAGTGCTCCAAGTTGGCCTCTTAAACTGAGAGCATAGCACGCTGCAGAAGTTAGAGCACATGGCGGTCAGTTTGATAGAGACCTGAGCTCTGTGCGTGATTCTGTTCTTGACTCCCTTTTTTGACATTCAGTTAGTTGCTTAACCCCTCTCCCATGTTTCCAGATCTGTAAAGCTGAAATAGCATCAAGCAGATGGGAGGATTAGATCAGTGGTTCTCAACTGTCTCGATCGTATGGCCCATGGTCTCTTGAGGTCCTCTTGTAGAAACAACCAAATTAGTCACGCATATACTAGCTTCAGAACAGGAACATCATAAGGTAGCTCTGTTGCTTTCTATTCAGGAGGTGTCTGCTTCTGGAATGTTGTTTTGTGTCAGCTGATCTGTCCATGCCCCCCCTTCCTCCTTTGTGTCCACCCACACCCACCCATGGCTTACTAATTGAGAACCACTGGATTAGAGAATATTGGTATAATCCTCCTGTTCTCAGAAGATGAGGAGCTGTAGACGCTAGAAGTATATGTATGTCTCATTAGTACAGGTTTTCCCTCACTTTATACTGTACATGCATTCCTGGAGAACGGTGTATAACTCAAATTCACATAAAGGGAACCCACTTTACAATGGAACAAATAGGGATATGTTCCAAGACCTTGACTATACTGACCTCCAAACCCATTTCTACCATTTTACAAGCAATTTTGGTGCTCACTAACAGCAGACAGCATACTAGCACAGGGTGGTGGTGAATGTTACCATAATGGGGATGGTAACTACAGAAACGTACATCGCAGATAACAGTTGAGCACAGATCCACACAGGAGACTATATTTTGGTGCGCATCACTCCCACAATGCACTGCACAAAGCAGCTGACTGCGGGCTTCCAGCACACCGATTGCGTAAGTGAATTTACCTCTCATCTGTCAAATTTTTGGTATAAAAAAGGTCATTGCATAAGAGCAAATTCACACATACAGAACCCGCATAAAGCGAGGGAAACCTGTACTTTAATTTTCAGTTAAACATGTAATAAAGTCTAATAATGTTAGTCTTGTAAGAGAGAATCCCCCTGGCAGAAACACAGTATTAACATAAAATAATATTATACAGACACTTGAATTACCCAGGTGAATTAAACACGATTATTTCTTCTTCTTTTTTTTTTTTCAGAGATTCCAATTGCTAGCCACATTCATTGTTTTGAAGGGTTTTTCTTAAAATTCTCTTTCCTTTTGTATAAAAGAGTTTTAATAATTGCTACTTTTAAAGACTAGTCACATTTTAACAAAGTAATCTTAGTCCAAAATTTAATAACCTGAACAATCTATAATGCTTTAATTTCAAATACACTGCTTAACATAGTGGTATTTCTAACTAGTGTTTGGGGGAAGACATACTTTCACTGTTGTTTATAGTCTGTGCACAGTGGTTTACTACTATTTGTATTACAATAGGTCCCAAAGGTTCAAAATCAGAACCCCATTTATGTAGCATCTGCACTTTTATTAAGTGTTTACAAGCAAGGTAAACAAAATGTCCATTTTATGGATGGAGAATTGAAGCACTGAAAAGTTGTTACTTGTTCAAGATCCCACAAAGGCTATGGCAGAATGGAGAATTTAACCTAGATCTTAGGAGGTGTTGTCCAGTGTTTTAACCACAAGAACATCCTTCTTGCCTGCTTTTGAGTTCATTTTGCATTTTGCTTAAGGTACTCTACAGTTCTCCAGTACATTTCTTGTTGCTACTCTTGCATTTCTGCTTTGGGCATGCTTTTGATGTTTGGCTTCAATGGTTTCCTGTTTGCTTCCGCTTCCTCTGCTTCAAGGTTGTTAAATTCTCTTGAGTAGAGCTGATTTGACTTCAAGCAACCTCTAGTGTTCCTACTCTGTGCCCCTCTCAGTGATGTATGGCTGATGGCATTCTTAGTGGAGTCTAGCTCTGAGATTTCCTGGCAAAGAAGGATTTTAAGGAGGAATTTAATACAGAGTTCAATGCATGGATCCAAAGGGAGCAGTAGTAATTTAGCAAATTCTGGAATTATGGGTAGAAGTGAATGGGGAAAAAGTGGAGGGAACTCTCCTTGGAGGCCTTCACATTGATAAATGCATATGAATTTAATAAAGATCAGGATTATCTACTTTCCTACCTTTACCCTCACTTCTTAAATTAGGGGCAAAGGGAAATAGGGTCAGCAGAAGACTCATTTCATTTTCACTTTAAGTTCAGAATATGACATCTCTTTCAAATGCTGGCAGCCTTTATTGGTCATGCATATGAGCACTTAATTTCCAAATGATCAGTTTGTATACACAGCTGCTAGATTTGTGCACTGTATTTGGGAAGCTAGTTTTGAAAAGCTGGCCCAAGTACACGAGTAGAACCTGGCAAAATTAGTTATTCTCCAGAGAAGGTATCACTGCTATAAAATTAAATTATATTTCTTAATGCTATGGGGTTTAGGTTCTTAGTCTGTGTACCATAGATTGATAAAATGCAGGTTGTGCTGTGATGCACTATTTATTTTCTCATGGTCTTCAAGGACGTCTTTTTTTTTTTCTTTTTTAATATTCTTTAACAGCCAGTTGGTGTCTCCCTGCATTTGTAATCACTTCTGTTTGTTTAAAATCCATTTACAGCTGGAAGTGCTTGTTTCTTCTTTTAAATTAGCTTGGGATTCTGTCAATTATAATTCTATAAACTACGTTGTCCAGCCATCGTTTTGAATGTGTTTATAGTAGACTAAGCAGTTTGCTACTTTTTTTTAAATTAAGCTATTGGAAACATTATAAACACTGAACATTTTGCAGCATTCTTCTAAAATTATTTATTTTGTTATGTTTAAATAAAATAGAAGAATTCTTTGGTTATTTTTGGATTATGTATATTGTTGCCACTTCTGCCATTATTTAAAGATTTATGTTGGCTATGCTGTTAAAATAAAAATAGCTTAGTCCTCAATTTTCAGCTTTCCAGCTTTTAGCTTACCCTGGAATTTCCTCTTCCTTTTACTCATGGATACATATTTGGGGTAGGGTTGGGGCGGGGGATGACAGGAAGCAGGAATTGGATATATTTGATTATTCTGAGTACAGTAAGAACCCATGAATTCTCCTCCTCATTTCAGGTTCCTGAATATTGAACTTTTTGTAAAGTAAATTCACTATGTGTAATGCTGTACATCTAAAATAGGCGAGCAATAGAGGCAAAAGGCTTAGCTAAACTTTTACTGCCTGCAAGATCTGCTATGAAATGAAAGCTGGTGATGTACACTAAATGAAGCGGCTTGAAATACAATAAATACTTTTATTATAGCAGTATAAAGAGCTTACAGTCTCTGACTTGCCTTGGTGAAGACAAGAAAGTCACTATTTGCACTTGTGGAGCTTTTCCCTGCCTTGAAACTGATCATCTCTATCCATGCAATTAGTGACTTTACCTGACAACAGTGGTACAGTAGTGGTAGTATTTAAGCACAGATGGCTGTACTAGAAGCCAGTCCCCAATTTAGTTAAGGTCTAAAGAAGAGAAATGGATGAAGTATGGGGAAAATCGTGCTAGTGGGCAGTCAACAGTCTGGAAGTAAAAGGGGAAGTCTTTTAGTTAGCTCCATAATTTTCCTCTTTCTTTTTATATAAAGCTGCAGTTGCCTGTCTAGTCTCTGTCTTTCCTCCTCCCCCCCCAATTTAGCTCTGCATCATGTTTGTCTTCTAGACTTTCTTCTTACCCCTTCCTTCTTTCCCCTCCCTACTTTCTTCATCTTTTGACTGGGAATCCTCTGCTGCAAAGGTCTTCCAGTGTCTTCCTATTAATCTGTTGTAGGTCATTTTAGTTTTTTTTCCTTCAGAGTTGTCTGTCCAGTAAATTCACAGTTTACTGTGTTTCATTAGAATCTGTCCCTTGTCCCTTTCCCACTTGAACTTCCCTAAAATATGGTGAGCTTGGGTTTACTGGATTCCACAATTTGAATTCTGTGGCTGCTGCCCCTCTGTAACATGGACCACCAGTGCAGTGGGCAGTAGGATCAAAAAGGATGAGAACCACTGATCTAATTCTCACAAAACCTCTGTGATGTTTGTCCAGTTCTTGCAGATTTGGAGAACAGTGCAGCACCCCTTGTTTGCTCATGTTGCATCTCAACCTAGCCTGTAAGGGTGGGGAAGGGTCTACAGAAGAACTGTGGGATTTGGGAAGGCACCAAACCTGGAGCTTTTCCTTAGCTGAGCTCCTTCTTGGTAGCACAGGAAATGGCTATGGAGATGGGGTGGTTTACTTTTGTTTTTGTTTTTTTTCTTTTTCACCTGTTAGTTAATTTAGTGCTCTTATTTGGAAGCCTGCAGTGACAAAGAAAGAAACTGTTTGCAATAATGTAGCTGCTTTTTTCCCCTCCCCTTGCATAGTACCTCTTTATTTTGCACAATAAAACAATCTAGTAATTATAAAGGTTGTCTGAGCAGTGCCCCTGTCAAACCTTGCTTATTGTAATCAGGCTTTTTTTTTTTTTTTTAAAGCTAGCATGTTTTTCAATTGGTTTAAGGATCACTGGATAAACAACCAACTTCCATTTTCCTTTTCACACATTTTCATTACTAGTTTCTTAACAATGAAGGTAATAATTAGTTATCTTAATTCCTTAGTTACCTTCAGAAAATATATTTAGTCTAATTCTCTGGTTTCAGAAAGCAGGCAGCCTTAATATAAGCAATCTGTCTCCTCTTGAAATAAAATTGCTAGGCAGATCCTTTTCTTTTTTATTTCAGAAAAGAGTTTCTTCACCTTTTTATAATAATTCCCCCCACCCTCCTTGGGGGAAAAAACCCAATTCAAAACAATTTTATGCTCTTGTGTATCATAAAAGAACAGAAACGGGCACATTTATCAACTGATATATATAGTAGTCTTTAATAAGAGTCTGTAAGAACATTTATCGTAAAAAACAAAACCACATAAAACCTGAACTGAGAAACGTTCTGATCTTATAGTTGGAGGTATACATTCATATTATTTTGGTATTTCTGTCTAGTTATTGGGGCAAATGGTCATTCTTACAGCATCAGGATAACCATGTATCAAATATTCAAAACAGATCACTCACAAAAATTATTTAGAATAAGGGAAGTTTCTTTTTTTGAGATGTAGACCACTATAAAATTTGGCAGATTCCTTTATAAAGAAAGCCAACTTTGAGGAAAAATGAGTGTAGTAATCAGTTAATACTTTCAAATGACTTTTTCTATTTAGATTTTTGACTTTTTAAAACAGTGTAAGGAATTTTATTGCTGAGGTGGACAGATACAGTACTTCAAGATATAGCCCTAGTTTTGCAGTGTAGGTTGACTTCCCTTCCCCATTCAATGGAAGAAATGTAGGGATCCCACCTGTGTTAATTTCATTGCAAGATCTGCAACACACCTAATTGTGTGTAAGCATATAATACTCGCTTCGTTAATAAATATTGTGTGAATTTGTAACATTGTTGAGAAGTAGCAAAGAAATGTAAACATATCTTAGCATTTCTGATTGCCGTATTTAAGTAAACAAGTTAACTATATGGGGGTTGTATTTCGTGGTCTAAACACCTATTTTCCCTTTATAACATGCGCTTTTTTTTTCTTCTTTAGGTGGATGCACGTAGCATACCAGTGTTAGCAAAATGGCAAAATTCTTATAGCATTAAAGTTGTACTTCAAGAGCTAAGACGTCTAATGATGTCCAAAGAAAATATGAAGCTTCCACAACCTCCAGAAGGACAAACTTACAGCAATTAATTTTAGCTGATTCTCAAACTTCTGTCTTAAAACAACCTTCTACACATGTTAATGTCTTGATTAAATCTCACAATGCAAACTACCCACACATTAAAAGAATTTCAGCTGGTATACATGACCTGGACATTTGTAAGAATATATATATAATATATGTATGCCCAATATGTTTTCAGGCACTATGGGAGAAAAAAAAAAGGCAGCACAATTTATTTTTTCTCTTATCAAGGCACTGTCATTTAAGCATAAGCCTGAAATAGCCTAAATTTGGAATTCAAGTTTTACAAGATGAAAGCATGACAGAAAGTGTCAGGTTGCTGTGGCATAATGTATGTTACTGAAAATTAATTTCTCAAGAAAGAACAATATAAATGGCATGCTTTATCCATCTTGCTTAGTAAAAGAGCTGCAGTTAAAATTGTTTTGAAGTAGCAGGTACAGTGAATACCATTGCTCATCTTGTTTAATTTTTGCAAAGGTGTGGGTGCCGACTACTAGTAATGTCACGAAGTATGTTCAGGATTGTTTTGATACCTGTATTTATAAAAGGGGGGATGTATTTCTGTTAAGCAGCTCCTGTGTGTTACATGTAACGGACATGGCAAATATTTGTTTACAGTCTTTGTTCTAATAAACCATGCATTTAAGTTTTAGTGAAACAAAGGAAATGTATGGATATGTGATTGAGATTAAAGTTAGTCTTAAAATGTAAATAAAATGTGGAAAGTGTCCTCTGAGACTGTGCCATTTCTATAATAGTGGTGTAATATGTGCACAATAAATTATACAGGTAGCAGAAAGTTAAATCTATGTAGTTGCTGGTCTACAGGCATCTTTTATTCTTACTAGTGTTTTTGTATGCTTATTTAGCTTGATAAATGGAGGTAGTAAGCTTTTACAGAAGAGCAGATTCTATAATCTGCGGTATTGTTTGGATAAATTTCATGGTTTGAAAAACTTTATTTTTCTCCAGGAAGTCATTCTAGAAATGACATTAAGTAGACCACTTAGTTTATATGACATTTAGGCACTGTCTAAAGTGGGTTGCTTAATTTTGTCCTGTTTCTGAGCCTTTCTTTTACCTTCTCTCCTTGTAATTATTAGTGTATTCTGTTGTTACCTTAGCTCTTCCCTGACCTGTTGTTTTCCTTGCAGTTTCTTTATGCTTTTTCTTTTTCTTTAGACTTGTTTTCTTTTTTCTTTTGCCTCACTCTCTTCCTCACATAAATGAGACTCGGGTCTCATGGCCTTTTTGAAAGGAACTTATACCACTGCTTTGAGCTGTGTGAACCTGCTATACTCATCTGTCTGCATTTCATGCCTCAAGTGCTGGTGCACAGTCTCACTGACTAGAATGAATTTGGCCACCCCAGGGATTGTCATTCTGATTTTTCTTCTTCCTTTCCTGCTGTGTTGAGTAGTGACAGCCATAGTTTTAATTCTGTTAGCTGATTTCTCAGAAAAGAGCTGCTCTTGCCATCCGACTGGCAATAAGACACTTTAATGACTTGTGTAGCAAATGCAAATGTTGTCCATTTCAATGGAAAAATTGTAATCTTGAGAATGGGTCAGTGGTTTGTCATTCAAAACTTCATCAGTAGTCCCCTTGGAACAATGAATATAGGGAAAAAAGAAGCCCATCAGAGGCCAGAAAACTTGGATATCTTCTGTATTTGTAATGTAAAGTAAGAATCTTGAGCAATAAATGAGGTTTTATTTTTAATAGAAAGCTTTAGGTAATATTTTATACTTCATGAAGGCTGTATTTGGTCTTGAAACAAATCTGATACATTTTCATAATCTACTTCGTGAAATTATAGCTGACCAGCTACCTCTTATCCACATTATATAACATCATAGGCTGTGACAGACTATTTGACTGACATGCTTTACCACAACATATCCCTATTCTCTTCATTTTAAGTTAATATGGATAGTTTTGATGCCACCAAACACTTGCATTACACTGGCACTACTAAGTGTATGCAGTTGTTAAAATAGGAATACACCTGTTCAGTTTTGAATCATGTTAACTTTAGGGAATCTCTCTTAGCTTAAACAACAAAAAGAGTTTCAGCTATATTTCCAAAATGTTACGTGCTTGGTAACATGGTTGACAGGCCAGACTAATGAGACTTAAGAAACTGAAACGCTTCACAGAGCACAGAAAGGTGTATTTCCACTGATCCTATGATACATGGTCCTTCTGGTTTGTTCTTTGATTATGGATGTGAGTAGAAATATATCTTCTAATTAGTTCTTTGAACCTGTATTCCTTTTGCGTATTGCAAACATGCTTTATTGTGACTTCAAATAGACAGTACTCCTAGGTATGAAATTGAAGCAGGCCAGGTATGCATTGACTTTTCTCTTTGTCCATATTGAATGTATGTTGGAACATACAATCTATAATGATCTGTTAAAATGGCCTTGGATTATTGGTCAAAGATCATTAGGTGAGAACCTTAAAGATGATCCCATACTAATAAAGGATTCCAAAAAAAAATTGCTGCTTCTCCTCCAGTGAGGTTATATTATGCTTTTTTTTTTTTTTTTTTTTTTTGAGTATTTGCCTAGTAGCCTGTTTTTCTAACTTCTTTTGTGCTTTGTCTTGGGTAAGTCTTTAAAGCAAGCTTTTTTAGCAAAACCTATTGTTCCATTCGTTTTCTGGCATAAAGGAGTTTATAGGCATGAGTTTCATGTTGTTAGTAACTTCTTGTATTTTTTTAAATGTTCTTTGCACTTAAGTGTATCTGTTTTTTGTAAGTACAGTACACGGAGAGGATCATTTAAAACCAAATTACGTAAGGAAGTATTCAAAAGCTCTACATGCGGCCTACTTTTAAACTGCATTTAAGAATTCGTATCATTGCCATGGTCTTTGCCTGGAATTTAAACTAATTATGTGTTCTGGTGCATATTAAGTGTATCTTGCTGGGTAAATCTTAAATGGGGAAAAATACTCTCTTTGGTTTGAATTTCACACTTTTATAGGCTTAACACTAATGAGTTATTCTGCAGCAGTTGCATGAGTATTAAAAGTGTTGTGCTCTGTTCATTTAGACCTTACAGAAATGAGTAACATACACAGTCAAATCCTGAAAAGTGTCTTGTATGTTCAAATCCATTTTGTAGTCTGAAAGCTGAGCAAGCATAGTGACTTCTAGTGCTGATTCAGAAATTCATTCCTGAATTCAGGGCTCCCATGTGTCTTGTTCTGCCCTGGCAGCTTTGGCTCCGGCACAGGGCAAACAGTGGCGACAGCTCCCACAAGGGCACGGCAAGGGGAAAATGGGTGTGCAGCAGTGGTCGAAGAGCTAGAGCCACTGTAGTGGTGTCAGTGAAGCAGCCAGAGGATGACCAGGCCTGTATCAGTCTTTGCTTGCCCTCTGACTTCTGATTGCCATGTCCACCTGGGCCTAAGGGCCCCAGGTTGTGTGGCAGGTCAAAACCCCAGCAACCTTTGGTTGCCTACTTGTCCTGGTGAGCTGGATACAGCAGCTCCACAGGTCAGATCTGGTTTGTGGGCTGTATGTTTGCTCCTGGTTTGCTGTATGCTCCTGTTATGGTGAATATAGCATCTATTCAATTGTTTAATAGCAACTTTAACTTAGTGATACCATTATTAATAATATGTTGGGTACAGTGTTCCTTATGCATCTACTTAAATATTAGGTATTTGTAATGGAATCTAGAGTTAATTTCAGTCTATAGATTAATAGTTATACCTACTGTTCAAGGCTAAACTCATTTAAGCCATTTCATGGAAAATTTTCTAATCTTCATCATTTTCAGAAATGATAATATACAAGCAAGACCTTTTAATTGTTTATACAGCTTGACAACATCATAAATAGATAATCTAATGGATGATGGTGAGATAATGCACAGCTAACCAGAGGCTGGGATTTCTTGACTTTATGTGCTAATGCTCATTTTCTATACTAATTGATGACTTGTCACCATTTCTTGTGGAAACAGCCCAACCTCCTGCCTTTTAATATACACAGTATCTAAAAAATATAAACATCACTTGCATATACTGTACATCAGAGATATAAAAATGCATATTGTAGATCATTTACACCAAAATACCATAAGGAGGGCTTATGCAGACATAACCAAAGATGTTTTCATTAGCTGCATTCTCTGCTTTTTCTCCTCCAGAGTGATCTTTAAGTTATGGATTCATAAGTAGATGGGTTAGCAATGTTGGCTGCTTTCATTTTGCACTAGGGTCATTTAGAGTGCTGTGTACTGTATTCTTCTCTTTTTAAACAGTGCAGCAATGGGGAAGAGAAAAGGTAGATTGGTTCCCTCTGTAGTTTCAACTGAATAAAGATCTGGTAGGAAGTGAGCCTCTGGGATGTAAAGGTGGCTGTTGCTTTCTGGATACTTCTTTGTTGGGTAGACATAGTGTTGAAACTTATGAAATACACCTGGGAAATTCAAAGTCTGGGACTGAAGATAATGGCATAAGAAGAACTAAATGTTTGGCAACTAGGAGAAAAAACTGCCGAAAGAGTAGAGCTTCAAAGTCCTTGTCCTAGAGAAAATACCATTATGTGAAGTGGCATCTTTTTGGTTTGTAAGTATATACAGGCCTTAGGCCTTGTATTCCTTGTGGAAGACAAGGTTGATTGCAAAGCAGTGCTTCAAGATACAGTTTCCAAAACTGGGTCTAACAAGCAGTGTCTGTCTTACAGTAAGGAATCCATATCTTGAAAGCAAGCACTTTAGACCAAATTATCCTGGTTTTTAACCAGATATTTATTCCAACTAAATTATTACCTTTGCAAAAATGAAGTGGACTTTTACTGAAATTGAGACAACTGTCAGGTGGATTTTTGGGAATTGTTAGGATATTGCCATAGTTTTTAATTGCGTTCTCAGGTACTCTAACCTTGGAATCTATTTTTGGATTAAAAATACCTTTAAAATAGATATGTTTATACACATTTCATTTTAATTGGATGGAAATATAAATAGCAATATTGTTAGCACATGAAAATCAGAATATGGAACAACTTTATTGTTGAAATGGAGTGACAGAGTATAACAGAAGGCAAATTTAAACTACAATAAATTTTTAATAAACGATGGTGGTTATTAACAAAAGTAAGGAAACAAAACTTCTAAAAACATAATTTTGAAACTGGTCCTGATCCCTTTTAAGAATGGGTTTTTGAAAACAAAATGTTGCTAAGGACAATTCACTAATGCTTAAACTGATTGAAATTATAGAGCAATTTTTAAAAAATGTTCCCTGGTCAGACATAGCCAACACATTGACAGATGTTATTATTAATTGGACACTGAGCCTTTCTTTGACACACTGTTTTTATAGAACAATCTATAGTTCTATAAGTTTAGAATCTATCTAAACTTTGACATTGCAAATAATTAATTAAAATCCAAGGTCACCTTTCTGTTTTACTTTGTCATCTACCTCAGGTTGAACAATTAACAAAAGCTATTTACTTTTTAATTTTCGTGCCATCAGCACAATGTTGATGACTAATAGTACAGGATTTAGAGAGGAAAAATGATAGACATGCCAAATACTGCAAGAGTTTAAATTGGTGGAGTATTTATGTCTTGGTTGAAATAAAATTTATTTCAGTTGAAAATATGGCATTTTCTTGCTAGGCCTTAAACTATTTTTTGCCCCTTTTAAAATTTGTTTCACCCTTTTTTATTTGCTTGGTTTTGTTTTTAAGCAGTGGCGAGGTACATATTTCTCAAATGCTGATGATTACTTTTTGTAGGATTCCTTCTTTGGAGGTAGAAGAGCAGGATACAGATGGTTTTGTCTTGTGTCCAGATATATTAATCTGTGTGTTTCAAGAACAGCCTGACATTGGGCTGCTAAGTGTTTGGAGCAGGAGAATATGGTGGTGGAATAACTTGAAGAGGAATCCTCATGTCTGTGCTATAGCCAACTGAGGTGTGTTCCAAGGGAAAAGGTGAATCAGTGTTTAATATTTGGATTAAATCTCTGTTAAATAGGTTGTTTTATATCATAGACTATGATAAAATGGGTATTTCAATTCCTTTATCTTGATGCATCTGAAAAAGTAGTGCATTGTCCTTGTGGTTCCAGACTAAAATATAACTCTAGTAAAGGTGTCTCCCAGGCACTACGAAGTTAAATTCTTAAGGGAATATCCAGGCATTGTCTTTGCTGAGGATGGGCAAACATGTATGTATGAAATGAGAGGGGGAATTGTTTCCATGCTTGCTGTCTGATTTTTAGGTTTTCAGCAGACATCAGTAAATTACAGCATCAGGAGATGTGAAACAATATACACCAACAGTAACATGTAGCTGAGTTATTTAGAGCCTTTGGAAGTGAGCCAGTGCTTTACGATGAGCTGGGAAGAATCTTACGGACTCCAGCAGACATTGTTCGAGGCGGCAAGGCTCAACATTTAGAGTTAAAACTGAACAAAATGGGTTGCTATGCACCAGACCAATACAAAGATTTTCCTCTGTATAATTTACAGTTTAATTATTCAGATAAAAGATTGCAAGCATATAGTCTAAATTAATCAGATTATAATATCAAAGGCACTTTCAGTACTTATCTATACACAGCAAAGTTTAAATTTAGCTACGTCATGTTCCTCTGATGTGACTTGTAATGGTTTATTTAGTAATACTGGAGTTAGTGGGCAAGCTTTTCAGATGTAAATGTCTGAAGTGATCTGATACGCAGAAGCACACCTC